GCATTAATGCATGTGAATGTTTTAACCTAGTGCTAGCCTTGAATATAATTTTAAGATCATAAGAAAAAAATGAATAAACTATACCACTTAGCTGTAAACATTATGCAAATATCAACCTCATTTATAAAAGCAAATCTTATTACCACATCCAGTAAATGTAGTTTTTCTGTATATAGCAAGTTCCTAACTGTAATCTCGAAGTCTTTATATTTTGTTGACACGAATTTTGTTCCTACTTTCAAGGAAACAGAGCCTACACAATTATTATTCAATGTTAAATCTATTTGGCACAGATATGTTTTGGCAAAATAAATTTTGGCAGGAGTTAAGGTATAACAGTTATATCACTTTACTGAAATTCTGCGTTGTATAGTTGCTAAAATAAGCTTTCACCACATGTTTGTCAGTCTGGATGCAAAAAATATAAAACTACTGAACATATTTACGTTAATAAACGAAATGACGAGTGAAAGTGTTTTATATCTCGAGAATCCAGAACCAGGTTTCTCGGATCTCACCGTCCGACCGGTTTTTAATAATTGGAGACGGGTATGAAGGATTTAACCCGAAAGAGGCCTCTGGAGTAAAAGCGAGGAAGAGATCTCTTCACTCAGTCGCGCATCTCTTTTAAACAGTGCAGGTGGGTAGAATACTATCACTCCGTTCATTGTACGATGCCAACTGCTACGAACTATTTCTAGAGAAGCGGAAATCTTCGCCTGTGAAGGGAAGGGAAGGGAAGGACTTTTTCCCTGTCTAGGCAGTACACCAGGGACCGAGGAATTACTCCACAATTGGGTGGATCAAGCTTTATGACATGGCGCCTAGTCTTACTGAAAAGACCATTCTTAGTTATTGAACATGGTCTTGATAAGGATCTTAACTATCTTCTCGAGAGTGATATCTTGATACACTTGTAGCTATGTTTTGGTGCCTTTTTCACAAAACCTCCGTGCGTACCGCTTATGTAGTTGTTTTGATTTTACTCCCCTATTCTTTTTTTTTAATTATCTGTTAAGAAGAAACCAGTGTGTTGCTTATAGGCTGCAAGTCCTAAGTTATTAGGACAGGATTTCTTACAATTCTTTTCGTTTACTGCTTTGATCGCCTATTTATGTGGATGGCCAAATGTATTTCTATTACCCGGTATACAAACATTCGACTAAATTGTGTTTGGCTCCATACCTACTTCATGTAAAGCAATCTCAACGATGCAGTTCTCTCAATCACCCCACTGCACTCACAAAAATAAGAAAAGACGATTAACAATCATATAAAAATGATGGATTAAAAATCAGTATCAGAATAAAGTAATTTTGTTTATCATCTCAAAAGAAATATTTTGTTTATCTCATCCATCTCAGTAATCTCAAGTACTGACTAAGCCATACTCTGGTGGAATTAAGAATATTTTCCGATATAGCATTGTGAATGCAACTGTCCATAAATACTGTTAAAAATAAAAATAACAAAAAATTGCTTTTAAATTTCGAATTCATCATTTTTATACGATTGTTCGTCGTCTTTTGTGCGGTGATTACATTACAATTTTGTATGAAATAGTTTATTATTTTTTCGATAATTCTGTACTTCTCCGATAGTAAAAGTTGTTTAGTATACTTAACTAATCCACTCCACAAAGATTATGTTAATATTTATTTTATTTTTACGAACTTAAGACAAGGATTGAAAACTGCAAAATCTTATTGGTTTTCTTAACTATTGAACTTCTACAGCTACAAGATTCATCGAGAACTTGTATATTATCAGCTAGATGGCGAATTGATTTACGATATATTTAGAGTGCACCCACTGATAAAATTAAAAGAGGTCTGCTAGAATTACTTAGTGGAAGTATTATTATTATTAGAAATTATTTTTTTACTTTACCAGCAATCAAGAAAACCAATTAAAATAATTCTTAAAGCTGACCTTCAATATAGATATACGTTTAAATAATGTAAATAATTAAAAACGACACACGTCTCTTGTTTGAACAAATGCTTACGCATATAGTACCCGACATTATGGTTTCATTCGAATTCGAAATTAAGTAATACAATTTTCATTATATCGAAATCTGCAGTAGGTTTTGTTCTAACCATGATTTATTTGTACAACCATAACGTTAGTGTAAACAATAATTTCCTGTGTAAGGTCGAGAGTTCGTCCTCTTTTTATTATATTATATAATATAAGATAGATATAAATTGTAAGCGACAACTACCTCCTTGCCATACCATTGACGGCAAGACTACATCTGCTTTCAAATGACATCGTGTCCACGATATCTGCATCGTGCTTATTAAATTGCGCTCCGTCTTTATATGATACCATTTGTAAGCGTCAATTGGATTGTACTCCAACAATACCCAGCTTGGAGGAAATAATCTCATAGTAGAGTATCCCTTACCATACCAAATGCCGTCCACTATGTAGAGTCATACATACTCTTCTTTCTACCGACCGTATTAAGTTATGTATCCATTATCTCTGTAGTACGGCTATTATAAATTATTTATATAACCAATACTTTTAGTCAAGTTTATAAATTGCTATGAACGTAGAGCAATCTTGAATTTAATTTTAATACAAGTTTAGGGTAGCAGGTCCAATAGAGAGTAGCTCGTCTAATACCTTACTTACATAAAATTGGCCCACATGAGTCAATTAGTTGGCAACTAATAAAAATTTGTTATGTATTTTCAAAAAATTTTTACTTAAGTATTGAACAACTTAAAACTTTAATAATAATAATCTTTATTCAAAACCAAAACTGAACATGTTTTTATACATAAATTAATGATCTTGCATTGTTGGTTACAAATTAGCACTTAAATTATTCTGAGCCTCTGATACCCAAACTAGAATTAAATCTGTTTTTTTGGAAGTCAGTGATTCCTCTTATCTAAAAAAACATTTGCAACCACCTTTTTATATATTAGTAGAACTTTTGTATGTACCTGTATGTATATGTGTGTATGTGTCTTTGTATTTGTTTATATATTCTATTTGTTTTGCCTACTTTAGCATGTCATGTTAATGGAGTAAAAATAAAATACACAGCTATAGGTACTATTAAAAAGTTATATAACGGCGATTACTTTTATATTACTAACTTATATTAAATTATGAAAATTTTGTCAATGGCCGGTGATAATATCGGTGATCGATAATTACTGGACCGTTTCTCCAAATTCGACTTCATTCATAATAGTGGATAGGCGCCGCGGCCCGCGATCGTAGTCGTTAAGCAACTTTCGCAAGGGTCGGTCACGGGATGGATGACCAAAAAATTATTATCTCGAGCTACTCCGTGCTACGGAAGGCACGTTAAGCCGTTGGTCCCGGCTGCATTTGCAGTCGTTATTACCTTCCAATCCGCATTGGGCCAGCGTGGAGGGTCTTGGCCCATCCTCCTTAAACATCCATAAGGAAGGCCTGAGCCCCTGCAATGGGGACGTAAAAGGGCTGATGAAATAACATAGGGAAAGCCTGTGTGCAGGCAGAGGGGACTTAAATAATGATGACATTGTCGTAATATTTTAATTGTACTACCATTTCTTAAATAAGACACTATATAATTGCGAACAACTTGTGAAGACAATAATAATCCAAGGTGATATTATAATATTTACACAAGTGGATCAATATAGTAGTCTTAAAATGTTCCGTTTATTTTCTCAAACAAATAAATCAATAACAGGTTTTTCGTTTATTTCATTTATAGTACTTATGCCTAAAAAACCTTGTTTTGCTAAAGCAGGCGAAATGAATAGGGCTCTTCTCCAACTAAGACTTGTCCCGAGAAGCGAGATCAACCTCGAGTAGAACGAAAGATTAGAGATCCAGTTCTGAGAGCTCGAATGTGCTCAAATAACCTAATCCATTCGAGCATACTAAGAAGTATCATGTCTCTTTTATAGAATGCAGTTTTTTTATGTTCTTTGAAGAAATGTACATTCCACAACAGGACCAGGATATAATATTAGAGCTCATTATAAATATAAAACATTTTAAAGCTAACGATAATTGACTAAATACGAATTATAAATCATAAGTAATTAAGTATTATATTGTTCTTAATATTCAAATATTTTGAACATTTCTTTTTATATTTAGGTAGAATATATAATAATAGTAGAATTGTTTCGACACAATTTTTGAAAATAGACTTTATTTTATGTAGTAACAATAAATGCTCATAAGTTATCATTTCATCATGAAAATTCTTTAAATTAGAGTCATGAATCATACATAAATAGCTTAACCTGTATCCACATTATTATCTTGTTTTATACTTTCCAATTCCTTGTCTACGTATATTGTTTTTGGTTTAAAGAATTCGGCGATTTCATTCAATGTCTTATTTTTCGTTTCTGGTACACATCGATAAACTATAAACAGTGAAATGGCAACCCCAAACCCAAGAGATGCAAATGCTCCATGATTTCCCAAATAACGAAAAAGAGATGGAGCTACTTTAACAAATGTCCCCGTTATTATTTTCATACATAATGTACAAATAACTACAGCAACACTATTCTTAACAGGAAGTAATTCACCAATGAAAAGACTACACACGATAATAGGTCCACAACATATGCATATCGAATAAGCAATTAATAAAGATACAGTAACATAAATGTTTTCAGATGCTATAGAAAGTTTGACTAAATATAAATATAAAGACAGTAAAAATAAAAATAGTAGAGCTATCAAACTTGCTGAAATCAATAATTTCATTCGTGTAGTAATCTTTGTTAACCCACTGGCTAGATACATTCCAAATACCGTAGCACCATCAATTATCAGCATTAATGTATACGCGCGTTGTTCACTGCCACTTATTTTTTTAAATATATCAATTGCATAAATTGCTAAAATTATTTTACCAGAAAGTTCATATAAGAGATGAAGAAGAATGCAGCACAAAATGGGCTTAAATATTTCAGGTTTCATAAGGGATTTGAATTCTTGACATTTTATATTATTCGATTTCATACTTTTTCTGTTCTCTTTTTCAACAGAAAGAAGAACGTCCAGTTCCTTTTCGGCATCATCGTCAACTCCTTTAAGCCATCGATGAGATGAAGCACACTGGTCATATTTTCCATTTTTTGCAAGCCATTGAGGAGACTCTGGGACTTTAAATAATGCAATAAATATGTAAATATTGCAAATAATACCAAATAGTCCAATAGAGCTAAAGTGGAAATATGTCCCAAGCGCATTTGATATCCAAATACCCCAATAAAAACTTGCCACTTTAAACGTAAGAAATACTCCTCGATGTTTTGGGCTGGAAAATTCTGTTATAATCATTATCAGTATAGTTTTTATGGAAGCATTTCCAATGCCAAATAAGATTTGGTTGATTATTACCCATTTGATATTTGAACTGAAGTATACACTTGTGAATATCAAAATGAAACTAACGTTGAGGAACATCATAGTTTTCTTACGTCCAAGGAAATGTGCCATCGTTGTAAGTATAATTACCCACGAGACTCCAGAAAATTGATTTGCAGATGCTGTAAACAATACAACTTAACTTTAAAAGGAAATTTATAATATTAATCTTAATGCCGAAAACATCCTACACAACACAAAAATAAATTAATTTTGCCAGTTCCTAGACTAAGTTTTCACTCATCAAGGCCTCTTATAATGTCCTTAAAAAATTACAATAGGCTACCGGACCAAATAAAGAATGAATAAGTTGATTGAATATTTCTAAAAAATATATAATATATTGTTAAAATTCTTTTCAAGCGTCAATGCGTCAATGAATTTTATAAATAAATCATAATAATAACAGTAAATCAATTATTTTTTAATCCTAATCAATAAATTTTTGATACTTTCACATTTTTTTATGTAATAACTTTACAAATAATAAAATGTATTTATTAACATTTGTTTTATTGTATTGTATTTGTCATTTGTTTTATATAAAAATCTATTTGTTTTATAATTGAATGAAATTATTAGCCAATTTTATTATTATTTTAAATCTATAAATAAAATGTAATTATTGGTATGTTCATTTGAACTTGTAATTGGATTTATAAAGCATATTGTTTATGGAGTTTTTATAATGCTTTAGAATGAATTATATATTGCACTTGTGGGATTTTTACTATTTATATAAAATTATAATTTGATTTTAAAATGAGTATAAACATAATATGTTCCTCCTCTTTGTTCCTCGTTGTTGCTGTGCCCGACAAGGTCCATAGTGTGAATTTAATAAAATTGTAACACTATGGTTTGCAATAAACGATTGAGTATTGAATATTGAGTAATTAAATGTCAATTAATAAGAATAATATTGAAATTTTACTCATAAAATATGTAAATATAATAATATATATTAAGCAAGCAGATAAAGAAGAAAAAATAATTGAATAAAAACAACAAACAATGAAGTGACCAAAAGGCTTGTATGTTGCGTTAAAAACCTTCAAACTTTCTAACACTAGCCTAGAGATTTGAATTCGTTAATATTGATTAAAGATTGTTCAGAATTATTAATTAAATTTACATGCCCATGACGCCATATCATCGGTGATGCTTTCTGTAGTGTTAGCATTTTTTCTGAGCTGGGGTATGATGACAGTTGGAGCTCCGGTGCCTACACCGACCAGTATATCAAAAACCGACGAGACACTATTCACAGCCAGCTGAAAATATGAGAGCAAAATTAAATTATATCATTATCGTCTTAATTTTGACGTAGTAGCCAAAAAATCTGTATTTTGAAATAAATTCGAATTCCCGATAATGTTTGTAGTACTACTTCTGCCAACACAATACTATGTAATATCTTTACAATACGAGAGGATCGTGAAATATTTTAATAAATACATTTATAATTTCATTTCAATATTTGTGCTCGTTTGATCGATTAAAACTTGGAACTCATATACTGTAAATAAAATCATGTTCAATAAACACGCCCATTTATTTACCTGTCTCATAAATGTCTTCCAATTCACGACATTTTCATTAATAGTTTCGTATTCCGTGTTCATATTACACTAACTATGAAATAAATGATACTGATTAGTGCTGATTACCTTTATTTCTTTTTGTAACCAAAGATTTAAAACAGCTGTTTAAATATATATTATATGTAAAGTTTTAGGGATCTGCACTAACTTTACCTCTTTTTGCATACTTATGTTAATGATAGCAAAAAAAAAATGAAAAGTTAACTAACCGGTTCTTCAAAGGCAACATTTATTATAATATATAAAAGCATTTACAATAAGGGACCCAGTATCTAGAAGAAAGTTTTAAGTAGGTAGCCTAAGTAGAAATATTTTTTTGGAAGAAAAAGCTTTTGACATTATAATCATCTAAGCTATAATCATCATCCATCAATCAATCCAGTCACATTTTCTTGGAGAAATATAAACACATAACCGAGATAAGATGTAATTGGACTGTTTTATACATATATCAAAGAGACGTGTTTTATGCAAATAAATAACGTCCAAATAAGCTGTAATTCTAATAAAATTATAATACTGCATCATATTTCTAAGGATTTTATTCACATTTTTACATTTCTTGTAGAACACACAGCCGCACACCAGGTTACTACAATATAGGTGTATCAAATTTCCACAGTTGGTTCTATATTCTGCTATCAAAGCATTAACATTTAAAATCGAGTGCAGTAATTTGATTGATTTGTATAATCCGACATGCGGTTGACTGTTTAACTCCCAACTATAAAGGAAACTACCTTTCGTTAAAGCAACAATTGGAAAATATATGAGTCACATTGTCTCCGAAAGAAATAAGCAGCACTTTTACAGTAATAGTTTGTAGCGTGTAATTCTATAAAAACCCTTTTGCCGCGCTATTCAATAACTACTATCCCTATCTATAACATTTTCGCGTGCAATGAGATAAAGATGAAGTCTCTTGATCGCAGAGTTGATCGTTGAAGGGGGCCTTATGATAGTCCCAAAGTAAGGTTGGGTGCAGAGGTCTCCTTGCAAAATCCCGTATTGTTCCCTCCTAGTAGGGGACTTTTGTAAAAAACGGAGTCTTTTGATTTCGCGTCCTTAAACCCATTTGTCGTTTATAACATTAGTCGCTGTTTCACTTGCTATAAGACAGATATTGTAGTTCAGTAGTTTGTTTAGTTCTTTCTAGGTCAGTCTAAAATTTGTTTCCAGTTTTTACGACTACAGGTTTTAAGACAAGCCTAACTGTGACACGTCTTGCAACTATGCAGGCATGATGAACCATTGAGTAGAAAATAATTTATTAAGATAATTTATAATTGGTACGGAATTTGTAGTAGTTAAATTTGGTTGGCGACCCTGGAATTTTACGTAAAGGTGGTGAATGTCCTTACTATCGTAGATTAGTATTGTAACAAATATTTTAATGAGCGTTTGAACACATTAAATATTATTCAAGTATAAATAATATCACGATTTGCTTCAGAGTTATCAGCTGCCTAATACCGTATTGCTAACGTGTAATCTTTTTTATTTTACGAATGGCAAAAAATCTAACCTATACATCCTATTCTTGGTCAGATGTCATCTTTCTTTACAAAAAATAAATCTAAAAATAGGTTAATTCGATCTAATAATCTAATTAGAATAAGTTAATCAGGCATATCGATGGGCCCTACGTACGAGTATACTGGCGTAAGTGCCGCATAGGGCTTTTTACAATAATATGTGCAAACCAAATGTCCAGGTAAGATCAAATATATTTTTTTCTATTCGTGTTTTACTGTTTAAATTTTAGTTTTTAGATAAGTAGGAATTTGTAGATTTTTCACTAAAATCTATTAAAAACCAAATTAAAAGGCGTATTGCACTTTCGCCTTTTTACTTGGTCAATTTTTAATAATTCAGTCTGTCCATTTCTTTAATCAATTTTTTTTCTATCTTATATTAAAATCAGTGATTTAACATAACATAGATTCAATAAAGCATACGTATTATTGATCTAATTGTATTAAAACAATTGTCGTCTCTTAATAACACACGATGGCGTAAATTATATGTTATTATTTTGGGTTAATAATAAAATGTGGTATACATAATATGTGGTTTAATAATCAACTATGGTAGAGCTACACTAACTCGATACTTTACAGAGAACTTGCCATAAGTGAGCTTGGACGAAATGAAGACGGCTCTTAAATATCTAAAAATGGAAAAGAATTTACGTCTGAACGCATGAAGGCAGACGGTGAGCCTAGCCTATAAGGAAGAAACGCCAAAAAATCTTTGATGTCGTTCTTTTCGAAGGGCAAATTCCAGAGGCATGGAGCAGGAGCATCGTCATATTGTTCTTTATAAAAGGAGACAAACCCGTCTGAAGAATTACTGACAACCACTGGAACAGGCTGGGTTTCGAATAGGTTATGGTACCGTAGAGCTCATCCACACAGTATGACAGATCATACAAAAAACAAAAGAGTATAATTTATAATCGGCCCTTGTACTTAACATTCGTAGACTTTGAAAAAGCCTTTGGTTCAGTCGAGACATGGCCTGTCCTGGAGTACTTGCAACGGTACCAAGTCGATTGACTGTATATGCAAGTGTTGAGATGTCTTAACAATGCCGTAACTAATACCGTTTAGGTCCAGAATCTTCAAATTCTCTTCAAATCCTATCTATCTCTTTGCATTGATACTAGAGGTTATTATAGAGTGGTGGAATAAACATAACTGGCAAATCTACATTTGCGATTTGCGGACGTCATAGTTGTCATGGCTGAAACGTTGCAGGATAAAATAGATGATAAATGACCTATGCGCATCGGTCATCAGATAAACTTCGACAAAACGAAATTCATGTCCATTGTCCAACTCCCATGTTGTAACGAGCCCGATTATAGTACAAGGCAGTGTCCTAGAAGTTTTTAAGAATATGTTATAAATGATCCAACAAAGTTATGTTGAGCATCTTTTGGTAAACTATGTCAAGTTTTCGCGTCCTTTATCCCACAAAGAAGAACTGACAATCGTTTGGGCAAACAAATTTTAGAGTCGAGACCGCGGATCGGCAAACGCAATGTAGGACGCCTCCACACTAGATGGATAGCTTGCAAAAACTGAATGTGAGTGGCCGAAAATTGAGTTCGATGGCGTGCGTGAAGAGGCCTTTGTCCAACTGAGGACAAACATGGGCCGATGATGATGATGATGATGAATAAAATGTACATTTTAGGTTGTGGTATTAAGGCACACTTAAAAATAATAATTGTTATAATAAAATGTTGAAGTAAATGGAATGACATAATATTATCCTGTTATAGTATCCCTTCTCGAATCTGGAGCTCAATATACTATAAAATATTTATCTTCTGATGTTTTCAATAATTCAGAGATACAACTAACAGATGTCACTGATAATGCGTCGGAATGTCACTTTCGAAAACTCTTCGAAATATTATTTGCTTATAAAGTAATAAAATAATTGTGGTATTGTTTTAAGTTTACATTATTATTATTTCTATTTACGAAATACACATACTATGATCAAAAATACAATTTAACAAGTTGTCTAGTATAAAGGTGAAAAATAATTTCTTCCATTTTACGTTGAGCGGAAATAAATTAATTATAGATAAGTTCATTGTAAAAAGGCGAAAGTGCAAAATCTCACAATAAATGCTAATTATATCAAAATCATTTGCATCAAAATAAAATCAGTCTATATACAAAAATTTTATGCAAAATTTCATACAATTATTTATAGTATTTTAAAATTTAATATGTATTAAAAATACTTTAATGTGCTCTCCTGTAAGATTTTATATTTCCGCTTACGACAGTTAACGAATGATCCATCGATATACCTTGTTATACCCGAATATCGCGAAGCGAAAAGGAGGGTTATGATTTTGGCCTGTATTTATGTATGTATCTGTTTTAATGTAACGTCACATAGCGTACTATTGACTATGTGACGTTACATTAAATTGGCAACAGCGCCCACCAGAAAACATAAAGTAAGAAACTAAAAAAAAATATTATTCAATCATTCCGTGTCGTGTATAAAATGAAAGGGCTTAATTAGTACATTTCAAATATATAAATATATGGATAGCTTTTGCTTGCGATATTGCTTAAATACTCACGAAAATTAATTAAATAAAGAATTTCTTGTTTGAAACTTATAAGAGCGTGATTAACCTGTAGTCGGGTTTTAGTTATTAAACTTATTTTTTATTTATTTGCTTTTAAGTTTTCTAAAATATTGCATTTCCAATAACACAGAAGCACTTAGTCGATTGGGATAGATGAAAATAAAGATACATTAAATGGAAATTCCCATGAAACTTTTGTTATAAACCTTAACTTATATCGATGTTTTTACATATCTTATCCCTTGAGGAAATTCCTTCTCTTCCTTGTAATGTTTTTGGTTTGAAATATTTTCCGATTTCATGCAGAGAAATTTAATATTTGATGCATTGAACTATAAACTATTATCAATTTTTTTCATGTGTTTCGATGACAGGTATAATATATAGGTATGTATCTCTTATCCAAAATAATTGATCATAATAAAGATCTGCTTTATATTTGGATTCAAATAAGTATAAGTACATTTTTAAATGTAAAAATAAAATTCACATTCCAGAATATCATAGTTTGCCTAAGGCCAATTAAGTATAGCATAATTGTGAGACTAATTTCTTTTATTTAGATTCATCTCTTCAATCAGAAAGGATGGCCAATAACTGATCATTATTATTTCATACTATCCAAAGAGAAGCCACAAAGGTAAGAAATAACGTTAGTGATTATTAAGGTATACAAAGTATTGGATTGTAAAAGCTATTTCATTTGGGAGCTGCATAAGATTATTTTATTTATTTATAATTTTGTTCGATAGATTCTCTCTCTCTCTCAAATCGGTTCTCCATTACTAAAGATCATAGTCGTGGGATTCGCGGCAAAGCAATTTTCGCCGCTCCGTAACTGCTTGATGGAATTTGGTGGAGGAGACCAAGTGGCCTCGCGTTCTTTTGCCTTTAGTAT